TCCGGTAGATTTTGATTGGCTTAAATTTGTTATGCCAGAAATAGATTCTATTTATGCGAATTACATCACTGGTTAACAAGCCATGCATGGCACAGTCTATATTAGTTATCAAATTTAAGATATATAGATTTTGTTTATAGTAATATAGCTGGAATATAAACATGTCAGAAATATGTTTTATGATGATTGTTTAACATTAAAATGATTGACATTTGTATCTGATCGTCAAACGAGTATTGAGAGATATTGCTCTGGAACAGCTTTAAGTTAAAACAAAATCAGCCATTTTGAATACATGTATAATGAATATATGAAATTCGAACATAATCAGTCAAAGCCTGTCAGAGATATGGCTCTAGAAGCCCATTCATTAAAACAAAATGGCTGCCAGTCAGCCATTCTGAATTCAATTTTTAATAGGGTCGTCAAACCAATATATCTATGACATGATGTATAATCAATATTTAAAATTTGAACATAATCAGTCAAAGCAAGTCAAAGATATGGCAATAAAACCACATTCATTAAAACAAATTGGCCACCAGTCGGCCATTTTGAATCTTATCTGAAAAACAAAATGATGTGCATCAAGGTCCTATAATGTCCAACATATATACCAAGTTCGAACAAAATCCATCTGTAAACAGCCGAGAAATGCTTGATTTTGATGATTTTTTAACAGAAAAATGGCCATCATTCGGCCATTTTTAATTGGACCGTCAAACCAATATATCTGTATGTCTGTGACATGATGTATAATGAATATTTAAAATTTGAACATAATCAGTCAAAGCAAGTAAATGATATGGCACTATAGAACCACATTCATTGAAACAAAATGGCTGCCAGTCAGCCATTTTGAATCATATCTGAAAAACGAAATGATGTGCATCAAGGTCCTATAATGTTCAACGTATATACAAAGTTTGAACAAAATCCATCAGTAAACAGCCAGGAAATTCTTGATTTTGATGATTTTTTAGGACAAAAATGGCCGCCATTCAGCCATCTTGAATAAGATCGTGAAACAAATTGATGTGCAAATGTATAATATCATGTATGATGTATGTGTGAAGTTTGATTGTGATAGGTTCAGATGCACACACGCACGCACGCACACACACACACATGCATCGACACACACACAGAGAGGGACTTGAAGCAAGTTTAATTTTGTGAAAAATTTACTAATAACAAATTCATAATGGCAGTCTACTACTGGTATGCATTCATTTCCAAAAACAAATTCTGTGATATTTCCATTAAACTGTGATACTACTTTTGGTCCAAGTTTCTTGTCCAAATTTTTATTTGTTTTTTAACTAGTGACAAAAGCTGATGAATAGTATAAAATTATTTATTTTTGTTTTGTTTTATTAAAAAACAAACCTTTTTGTGCCCTTTTATCCATTTTCTTTCCGCCTCTGCGTCCTCCTTCACTGGGAGCTGGCCAGTTCTGTTCACTCTTTGCCTCACTTGGAATAGGAATATCCCAAGGAAGCAGAAAACTACTTCCATGTAGAAAACCAGGCTGATCCAAACCTGCAACAAGGAAAGTCTTTTAATAGAATAAAACCCTATTTTTATGGAGTTTCCTAGACTGGCAAAGTCGGGACTTCTTTCTTGTTTTACAGAAAGAAATAATCAATTGTTCTTTTAGAAGCGTGATCGAGAAAACTAACCTGACCGCTAAAGAAATCCCGACTGGAGGCATCTGCAGGCATTTGACTGCTATTAATTATTCATGATGTCATTGATTATTCATGAATGGGTGTGTGAAAGTAAACATGACCTTTTAAAAGTTGATTCGATTCGATCACAGATATGGATACTTTCTAAGTGCAAAGGCGATAATTTCATCCATGTTTACTGAAAACAAATTGATTTAAATGTCCAATGTATATAAGTAGTCTTTCAAAATCGCTGAGACCTCAGACGTGAAAGGTCATGTACATTAACATAGATAAGATATTACGTATACAGCTGCACGCTGATTCATTGTCAATGCTAGTCAACAAATTTTAATTAGTATAATCACCAGAGTGATCAAGCTGCAGATGCGTCCAGTCAGAATTTCTTTCATAGTCACCCTAGTTTTCGCGACCACGTTAAAAAGGCTAAAAAGGCTAAATTGACAATTAATTACAAAAATAAAGTCCCAACTTTGCCAGTCTAAGAGTTTCCCTGTACTAGAGATTATATTGCCTGGAATATTTCAGCTACATTGGAAGAGGAAATTATTGAATGCACTTATTATAGCATGGACAGAAAGCCATTGAAAATCTAAACATTTGTTACTGTATGTAACACCAGTCAATAGCACTCCTTGTTCAAGGAGGTTTGGTGTTCAGAATTTTGCATCGACTGAGTGCATTATGGGAGGAAAATTCTAATAAATATACCGTAATAGTAAATTATCATATCTAATTTTGGATCTATATCAAAGGTCATTTA